TCGTTGTACATAGGGTCACTATGAGTCGGTACCAACTCAATGGCACCTAACAACAACAACAATCCTGGTGTGGTGCTGTGGGATAAAGCACTGAACTGCAAGGTCAATTTGAATCACAAGGTTGATGGTTTAAACTCACCAGCCATTCCTTGGAAATCCTATATAGAGTCACTATAATTTGAAACAGACTTGACAGTACTTAACAATAACAATATCCTTCACATGGAGTGCTGGTGTGGCTCTGTAGGTTAAGAACTAGATCAAAAGGTCAGTTTGAACATCAAGTCAGTAGTTCAAACTCACCAGCCACTCCTTGGAAACCCTATGCAGGGTCATTCTGAGTCAGAGCCGACTCAACAGCACTAGATAACAATAACAATCCTTTACATAAAAGCATGCACGTGTAAAAGCTATTCAGAATTTACCAGGTAACATCACCCATCAGGCCTCCTCTCTGAGGACCAAGGCATGTGAGTTACACATTCTTACCTGCTCCCCTGAGTGCCGACACCTTCCCCATCAGCTGTGATTTCGGTCTGCTTCGATCCCCAGAAGCTCTTGGGCTCTGTGTTTCTGGGCTGACTGTCAATCTCCCCAGGTTTGGCCTCCTCTTCCTTGATAAAATCTGGGCTGCCTGGTCTGCTGGAAGGTGCAAAATCTTTTAAATAATTAATTTTTACAGGAAAACATCTTCTACATAAAGACTGTTCAAAGGGCCCAGCAATGGAGGAGACAGGTAAGAGAATGGGCCCTGGAGACAAGGAAGAGCTAAATTCAAAGCTAACTGAGCTAGAGCAAGTGGCATCATCTCTGGAAACTTCAGTTTCCTGACCTGTTACATGGAAATAGTGATGTCTACTTCACATGGCTGTTGGGAAGATGGTACCTGTTAAGCACTGGGCATGGGGCCAGCACAGCGCTGTGGTTATTGTTAATGAGCGTGGCATCTCATTAGAGATACAGAGTCCCCAGGAATCTTTTCTTCTGCTAAGAAATTTCTAGCTTTCAACTCATAGGTTTGGGGATGGGCTTGTTTGGAATGTTGTCAAGAGTCCTCTACAACTCAGATTCACAATTTCACCGCTCATCTATTGCTCATCCAAGTTTGAGTTATGACATATTTTGGACCTACATATTTATGTCTTTGGTTCTTTATTAACAGTGAACACAGCCTTACAGAATGGTTCCAAGGGTCAGGGCCATATAGCTTCTTTTTTGCCTCTACACTACACACCACTCTGCTGGCATGACATACTCAGAAAGACAATAGTCAAAGAGCTACTGTGGACTCTGTTCCCAATAAATATTAAAAATCACTCTTTTTCCACTATTTAAATTAGGCTGCTAATTGGTATGCACAATCTCAAGTTTTTCCTTCACATGTAGTAAGTGTGAGTGCATGTGAGGGTGGAAAACATTTCAGTGATATCCATGTGTCCCTACAAAGTTCTTGGGTTCACCAAAAATCAAAAACCCAAAGCTGTTGTTACAGAGTTGATTCCAACTCACACTGACCCTATAGGACTGCCTCATAGGATTGCCAAGGATCTAATTTTTCTGGACACAGACTGCTACAGCTTTCTCCAGTGGAGCAGCTGGTGGGTTTGAACCACTGACCTTTGGTTAGCAGCCAACCACTTGATTTAATCAGTGTGCTACCTCCTTGTCAAATTGTGACTGTCTGGGCTGATCCCTCTAAGAGAATGTACTTGACTCACCCTGGTGTGACATTCATTGTAGGATAATCATTGGGCTGTTAACTGCAAGGTTGGTGGTTCAAATCCACCACTCACTCCTTGGAAACCCTGTACAGGGTCGCTATGAGTTAGAACTGAATCGACTGCACTTAACAACAGTAACATCCCAAATTGGAATCTTCAGAAATGTCAGAAATAGACAGCTGATAGGTGATGCAGGGGTCAATCTGGGAAGGATCCCTAAATTAGGGGTGGGAGAGCCACTATTCTTGGCACGTGGAGACAGCTGGAGTTATGTCCCAGAGAAAAAGTTGTGGTTGCGTGAATGATTCTGACCTAAATTTGGGAAAGGGATAAAATTTCTATTTGGCGGCCCAGAAAAGCTAACTTAATATACTGATTAGGTACTACCTACTTCTCCTGATAGGCCCCAGGTGGGAAAGATAAGATCCCCAGAGAAGATCCCATTTTACAGAAACCTTACTAAAATAAGGGGAGCCTCAGCTAGTGTTGACCCTAGTTTAGAACAAGTTAGTAGAGCTCAGAGAGCCCTTGGGTGTGACTAGAAAGGAGAGAAAAGAGTGAAGTTCTCTGGAAAATGAGAATATATTATTTGGAGGGTGTAGGGTGGTGATTAGTTATAATCTTACTGACGGAGACTGAGAGAAGAGTGAGAGAGGGATCATGTGCTTTCCAGTATGGACCACACCACTTTCTCAGCAACCAGAGTTGCATTTCTCAAATCCCGGGCCATCCCCCCTTACCACCTGAGAAGTGGAAAGCCTTCCTGAGGCCTGTCCCTCTGCAGCGCTCAGAAAAATCTAGAACTGCGTTCTCCCTTTCATTCTGGCTGGCAGAAGAGGAAGCAGCAGGAGTCTTATTTACTGAGGAAGAGACAGAAGGAGGCCCAGAGAAGGGGTAGGCTTGGGGCTCTGGCCAAGTCCAGAACGTATGTCAGGACCTGGCCCAAAGGTCCTGGTTATAAGGATTACCCTTGGATTCCTAGGAGGATGCCCAGCAGAATATCAATTATGCTTCACATTGTCCACAGTCCCCCGACCCAACCTGCACATCCTCATGAGGAGCCGTATTCCCTCCTAGAGATCTTTCTTTCCCAGTCTGCAGCAGATGCAGATCTTTCAAGGTCTGTTTCTAGTTTTATACCCATCAAGTCGGTTCTGACTCTATTTTTGTCAGGACCCTTACTGTCAGGATTTATATAGTTTTTTGTTGTGGTGGTTAAGTGCCGTTGAGTCAGTTCTGACACATAGTGACCCTGTGTAGGGTTTCTGAGGAGTGGCTGCTGAGTTTGAACCGAATGTTCTAAAACTGCTTAGTGTGTAGTTGTCTTTTCTCTCTCACTAGACTATACATAGACTCTTTAAAGATGGAGACCACATCATAACAGTGTGTATGTTCCTCACAATGGGAAGCATTGTGCAGGGCAAATATTAATGGCTCAGTGATAACTTGGAGGAATTTGAGAAGATACAGTTGAAACTATGAGTAATTCTTTTGTTGTATAATATATCCAAGATAGCTTAAGATAAGAGACTTCCCCCCCCTGTTTTCTTGTTAAAAAAAACCTCCTTTCTTCAAAGCATAAGGTCTCTTTAATGATTTCCAAAACTATTTCTATGTCTCCTCGGATCCAAATTTCTGTAATAATGGTAGAGAACTTGAGATTGCTTTACCAGGGCCTGGAAGTGAAGAAATCCCTGTTGTTAGTTCAAGTAGGATCCTCCAACCTTTGACAATGTGAACCCAAGTGTCTGCAACTATAAAATGGGAACATCAAGTCAATCCTTTTGGGTTACTGTAAAGTAGAGCTGTTAGGCCCACAAATGGCCTAAGTCAGAGTTTGGTGCATATTAGCTCCTAAAGAGTGGTAACTGCTGCTATTACCATCCATGAGGTAATAATAATATTAGTAATCATAATATGGGAAGTCTGAAGGCACCTCTGTGAGAGAACTAAGTTTAACTAGAAAGTTGCTCTGTAGGTCTTGCCGGCCGAGAAGGACTTAACGGCCTGCATTCCTGTTTAGCCCTTCTTGTCTAAAATCTAAAGGGCAAATTTGTTGTTGTTGAGTGCAATCGAGTTGGTTCACACTCATGCAACCTTTATAGGGTTTCCGAGGAATGACTGGTGGTTTGAACCACCAACCTTGCAGTTAGCAAGTCCAGCGCTTACCCAACCGTGCCACACCCTTTTAAAAAAATCATAATGCTTTTAACAAATAACTGTCAGCTTTGGCTATGCGATAATTTGAGGTTTGATAAAGATAAGACATTTTCGTTGCGGCCTTAAAGAATATAATCAAATTTGGCCTATGGTTGACCTCTTTCCCATGTTACTATCTAGTTTCTACAAAAAGCAAACTCTTGTGAAATATTTTCTTCTCTATCGGCAATTTCAATTGCAAATGAGGTGATCTCTGCTATGCAGTTTATGTGTCTATGGATTTAAACATTCCAAGAGCTCAAATCCTATGGCAAGCTCATCCCCTACATCCGAAAATGAAGCAAACTTCAGACCTTCGACACCTTTCTAGGACAGGTCCCCCTCAACATGGCATGCTACATATGTCAGTGTCCAGGTAGACCAAGTCATATTTACACTGGAGGATAAACAGCAACCTTCCTCTTTAGGTAGCAGGGAAGGTAAGGGCTTGCATTCAGGAGTTTCATTGCCAGGTAACTCAGTATCCTGGAGGACAGACTCAGTGCATTTTGCTTAGTCCCTGGGTGGTGCAGCCTTTAACTCTACTTTTAGTAGAGTTAAGCACTCTCCTAACCAAAAGGTTAGTAGTTTGAACTCAGCCAAAGGCTCTTTGATAGAAATTACAAGCTTGAAAACCCTTGGAGTATTTTTACTTTGCATACAGGTGTTGCTATGAGTTGAAACAGTCTCAAAGACAACTGGGTCTCTTTCGGTTTTTTGGTGGTTCGCTTTGGACAACATAAAACTCAGACCTTCCTCTCAGGCCACCAACAGAGCAGAAACCAACAAACTGCAGTTTAGATAAAAGATATCTGCTTCAATTCTCTTGGCAAAGCTGGGGAACTATAACATTTTACTGAATAGTTATTAATTTTAATAGGAACACCAACAACATTGAAGTAGAAATCTCATATTTACAACTGACCTTGACAATCTGATAATGAGAGAACAAGTTCAATGGTGTGGCTCTGTAGGACCAGCACTGAACTTCAAACTATAAGGTCAGTAGTTCAAACCCACCAGCTGCTCCTATACAGAGTTGCTATGTGTTGGAACCAACTTGACAACACTTAACAACAAATCCAATGGTTTTGGCCATTTTGAATCAGACAATCATATGGTTTACTATGCTGGAAATGACAAAATCAAGAGGAATGGCATAGCATCACTATCAAAAAGAACATTTCAAGATCTGCCTTGAAGTATAATTCTGCTTGTGACAGAATAATATGCATACACCTACAAGGAAAACCAGTTAATACCACTATTTTTCAAATTTATGCACCAACCACTAAAGTTAAAATATGACCTTGAACATATTCCACCTGAATTTAGAGACCATCTAATTAGACACTAATGCATTAGACACTAATGACTGAAGACCAGAAGGTTGTGGGATTACTTCAAGAACATCATGCAGGAAGAGTGCAAGAAGTCATTAAAAAAGACAGGAAAGAGATAGAACAGCGGCAGACTCTAGACCCAGGCACCGAGGAAGGCTGTGTACCCATGGACAGGAGACAGGCTTGCAAATTATGCCCTCTGGACATTTCAATGGATATATAATTTTTGTTTTGTGTGTGTACATCAAATATTTTTGCTTTGTTGATTTGTGGAAAAATAAGATGTAAAAGGGAAGCCACAGGGAGGAAGCAGGGTAACTTGTTGCAGGGAAGGACTTGTAACTATTGAGATGAAGCAAACTGTATGGATGAATGTAAA